GGTAAAACTTCTGTATCTAGACACGTATCGTATCGCAGCATCAATATCTAGATACGTATCGTATCACGGCATCTTATATCTAGATACTACGTTTCTTTATTCGCTTATCTCCCTTTCTCTCGCTCTATCTCTCTCTATATATATATATATATATATGTACATATGTTTTCACGCTAATAAATTAAATGCTTAAATTACTTGGAATTCTTACTGTCTTCTTGTGTTCAAATCTCAGACTAAATCACTCGTATATTAAATCTAAGAAACGGACTGGATTAGAATTGTAAAGGTACTATTTATTTAGTTGTTTTTTATTGTATATTAAATCTAAGAAACGGACTGGATTAGAATTGTAAAGATACTATTTATAACTAAAGGTACTATTTATTTAGTTGTTTTTTATTTTGTAAACTACATCGTATATCTACTGTTCCCTATAACCATCTATAAATCTATCTAGTGATAAACCGTGTATTTCTATATTAGCTTTATTCTCCACGTTAAAGTTATGAGTTAACACTTTGCTAAACATGGATTAAATGTTACGATATAAGGTGCTTGAAATCGATCGGTTCTTTCATGGAACGATTGCTTTAATAGTTTGTGTCGTTCCATAGCATTATCTAACTATTAATTATCTGTTAGGGACCATCAACCTGTTCTTTCTTCTGTAGGGAGACTTGCTTCGATCTTTTGTATTTCTGTCAGGTTCTAAATCATTGCTAGACATTTCAGTTATTTGATAACTTTCTTGATTTTCCTGTTAAACATTTTTCAAAAGCTCCGTATTAGGTATACATCATTATAAAACATTAATCCATTTGGATTTTAATTCATCTACTTATAAATATAAAAGTTCTGCGAGATTAGTTTAATTAACAAGGATTTAATAAACTAATAACAACGAACACAAGTTCTGAATTTTTAAGTTTTCTTTTTTTCAGATCAATAGGAGATGATGTTTAAGATGACACTGCTTGACATGATGTTCAACACGTTTAAAACTAGATATGCTGTTTACTAAGGTGCTAAGTTTAGCGCTGGATGTGTGGGGTTTTCAACCTGGACAGCACCTTGTATGATTCATAGAATAGATCACCAAGGTTCAAGTGTAACATTCCCTAATTTTAAACCGGTGACCAGAGAGGAAGCAGACAATGGTTTTATTAGTCTCTTCACACAGAGTAACAGAGTTGACTGTCACTCTTATAACACATTAACAGCTCAAAGTGCTGATCGTGTTTAGTAGCAATGCGACGCGAACTTGAATAGCAGGTAGAGGTGGTTTGGAGGTAGCCAATCAGCATCCTTCATAGATAGAGAGACCATTGTTTAAATTCATCATCAGTAAGATAGAATGCCTACCTGGTTGGTAAAAAAAAATATCCTTTCACGATAAAATCAGTTGCTTATCATTTATAATGACCATTAATATATATATAGAATATCTTCACGATAGAATCAGTTGCTTGTCATTTATAATGACCATTAATATATAGAATATCCTTTCACTATAAAATCAGTTGCTTGTCATTTATAATGACCATACCATTAGTATATAGTATATCTTCACGATAAAATCAGTTGCTTATCATTTATAATGACCATTAATATATAGAATATCTTCACGATAAAATCAGTTGCTTATCATTTATAATGACCATTAATATATAGAATATCTTCACGATAGAATCAGTTGCTTGTCATATATAATAACCTATTCGTATATATTAATGGTCATTATAAATGACAAGCAACTGATTTTATCGTGAAAGATATTCTATATACTAATAAGCAACTGATTTTATCGTGAAGAGGTCATTATAAATGATTATTCTATATATTAATGGTCATTATAAATGACAAGCAACTGATTTTATCGTGAAAGATATTCTATATACTAATCCTTCACGTAATTATATACTTGTTCTTATTTCCAAAATATCAAATTTAAATGATTTACCATGTTTTATGTTTCTCCCTCTCAGATAGTCTAACCATCGTGAAGAGGAGGCTAGTCATTTAGTTGTTTATTGACTGGTAAGTCAGTTAACACATCCTGAAGAAGAGGCTAGTCATTTAGTTGTTTATTGACTGGTAAGTTAGTTCACACATAGTGGAGAGGAGGCTAGTCATTTAGTTGTTTATTGACTGATAAGTTAGTTCACACATAGTGGAGAGAAGGCTAGTCATTTAGTTGTTTATTGACTGGCAAGTCAGTTTACACATCGTGAAGAGGAGGCTAGTCATTTCGTTGTTTATTGATTGGTACGTTAGTTCACACATAGTGGAGATGAGGCTAGTCATTTAGTTGTTTATTGACTGGTAAGTCATTCCCCACATAGTGGAGAGAAGGCTAGTCATTTCGTTGTTTATTGACATGTAAGTCAGTCCACATATCGTGGAGAAGGGGCTAGTCATTTCGTTGTTTATTGACATGTAAGTCAGTCCACACATAGTGGAGAGAAGGCTAGTCATTTCGTTATTTATTGACTGGTAAGTCATTCCCTCACATAGTGGAGAGAAGGCTAGTCATTTCGTTGTTTATTGACATGTAAGTCAGTCCACATATCGTGGAGAAGTGGCTAGTCATTTCGTTGTTTATTGACTGGTAAGTCATTCCCCACATAGTGGAGAGAAGGCTAGTCATTTCGTTATTTATTGACATGTAAGTCAGTCCACACATCGTGGAGAAGTGCTAGTCAATTTGGTTGTTTATTGACATGTAAGTCAGTCCACACATCGTGGAGAAGTGACTAGTCATTTCGTTGTGTTTTGGTGAGAGTAATGTTATCATTGTTTATTTATTAGAAGGTCGGTCTAACCATCTTTGAAAGGATGGCAGGGATTTCGTTTGTTTGAATAGAGGATCACATGCTGAGGAAGGTAATGATTTCATTGTTTATTGACATCGTTGAAAGTAGGGCAGTGATTTTGTTGTGTCATAGAAATGGTGAGTATGTGTTGTCACAATGATATCGGTTTAGTTTCATCGAATTACGTAAGATACAATAATATAAGAAAAACTTCGTAAAATTAAATGTGTATCAGTACAACTTATAGATTCTACTTTTTAGAGAAACTTAGCCAAATAATTCATGGAGAAAAGTCGCTAATCATAGAACAAATCTATATCAATAATCTGTGTTTCTTTGTGATACATTTATTAGAACAAAGGTAAAAACAATCAATCCATCATACATATTTTCATCAACTTCAGAATACACGCACACCAAATATTAGACATAAAAAATCAGTTTATTAATATCATCAACTTCAAAATCAGGGTGGATACTTCGGAACACTTGGCGGCTATGGGCTATTTAAAAAGAAAATGCTGGAAAATAAAAAAACGTAGGTTGAAAAAGTTTCTGGTTTTACCTCAGAAATTTTGGGTTCAGACCTTAACAGAGAGTTCAAAATATCGTTTCCAAAACCATTCAGAAGGCAGAAGCAATTGATGGAAATATATATATATATATATTACAAGAAAAATCGTACTTTTAAACAGAACGTATAAATTTGTAATTACGATCAAAGAAACTGTACATGCAGATTGAAAATAATAAAATTTTTCGGCAAACCTGACAAAATATTAAACCTTAACAGTACATATGTCCAGCTCAAACCATTAATGAGTGTAAACATTACAGTAAACTAAATAAAACAAATTTAATAGCTAATAGAAAGGATTCCAGAGCAACTTCATAATTATTTGAAACTTTTATGATAGCAACAACAACATGAAAGATTATTTTTCGATTACAAAACTTGATTCTAGTGTTTCAAAATAAAATTTCATTTTAACAGTCTTTAACATTCAACATTAGCAAACAGAGCATGTAGAAACAAACGTGTGTAAGTAATCGCTACATTATAATGTGAAAATAATAATTATGGTTGAATATCTTAGATCAGGATAAAATTTAAAACAAACCTTTAGTCCCACCAAATTCCTCCTTTTCTGTAACGTCCACCTACACCTCTTCCTCCAATTCCACCTCCAACACCTCCTCCCAATCCTCCAACACCATATACACCAGCTCCTGCTCCAACTCCATTTTGTCCACCACTAACTACTCCTCCACCTCCTGGTACAAGAGAAATGGGAATAGCAAGGAGCGACAAGCCTCCAGCCCCTCCGGCGCCACCTCCAAGTCCTCCTACCCCTCCTACACCACCTCCAAGTCCGCCTATCCCTCCCCCAAGTCCTCCTACACCACCGCCAAGTCCCCCTACACCACCTCCAAGTCCTCCTCCCCCTCCCCCAAGTCCTCCTACACCACCTCCAAGTCCGCCTATCCCTCCCCCAAGTCCTCCTACACCACCGCCAAGTCCCCCTACACCACCTCCAAGTCCTCCTACCCCTCCCCCAAGTCCTCCTGAGCCACCACTATATCCCCCACCATATCCTGTGGCTTCAGCTTGGAGCTCCTGACTTTCAGAAGATTTGGCTTCCTCCTCACCAGTCACTACCGAGTACAGAAGGACGGTAACACAAAACACGGCAAAGGTCTGGGGATTAGAGAAAAACAAATATTTTATTTAAAAACTAAAATATTAACATATAGTTTCTATTTTTATGTTTAAAATATGCCTTCATAATCTCTTCGAAAAATTCCCCAAACTCTTAGTACACTAGTAAGTTAACTTATCCACGGTGTTGAAAGTAATTTCTTCATCTTGTGATATATATTTATACCCTCTATATAAGGATAAGTCGGTAAAAATCGATGATCAAATAGTTATACAATACGAGTTAAATAAAATACATGTAATATAACTTACTGATTCAAGGTTTCTGCCCAAATAAACGAATATATATTTATGATAACTTACACCATTTCAGGCTTTTGTAAACGTATTTCACACAATCTGACATTTTTAGTGAGAAAAATAATTGATGATCAACAAAATTCAGCAAATGTCTATTAATTTATAAACTTAGCAGTGCCTTATTTAGTAAAATACGACACAGTACATAAAATAACTCAGAAGTGGAAGATTCTAAACATGAATTTTAAAATCTATCCGTTAACATTAAGTTACTGAGACTGTTTGTTTGTTTTTGTGAAGTTAAGCACAAAGCTTCACAATGGGCTATCTGTGCTCTGCCCACCACGGGAAAACATACTGTTGTGCCATTGGGGAGGGGTGAGAAACTGATCGTTTGTATCGGAAATTTTCTCCCATAGCTACCCAAAAGACTGTCTCCCCACAGTGGTCCCTAAGTTTGAACTGATAGCTAGCCAACCACTGGGTTTCTCTGGCCTAATCGAACAGTGACATTTGACTGTCACTCTAATAACGGAATGTGTATCCGAGAATCTGTGGTTCGCAACCCGTTTATACCACAACAAAAATTGTGCTTCGCACTTTTTGGGCCTTCGGTGTGTTATAAAAGTGACAGTTGAATGTCTTATTTGATTGTAGTATCCTACGAATTGACTAGTTTCCGTCCTTGTAGTTTAACATATACAATTTAGCGACAGCTTTGTATAAAAATCAACA